TCTGCTGCCCTAGGGACCTCAGTTTCGTACCTCTTGTCCCTAGGTCAGTAAGCGTTCATGTATCTGCTTACTTACTTATACTAACTAATATACTTTCTTGTCCCTAGCCTTAGGTTTGAGCATAGCTCACCATCGCTTCGGTGAGACTTAGTCGGACACCCCCAGCATTTAGGTTTTTCCTCAGTCGCTTGACCTCAAGTCGCGACATTAGGTCAAAACTTCCCAAGCTGCTGGCGTCCCCTCGGGACCCCTTATATTCACTTTCCTTTCCCACAGGGCGGGTGGTGCGCACCCCTACGGTACATTACGATACATAGATAGCGTACATACATCGCCACCACTCAGGGAACGAACTCTTCAGTACCTGCACTTCAGTGGGCGGTACTTGTCCTCACGGACGCGTGGACTAGGTTCCTGCTGCATAATAGTCAAAAGCAGTACTGGGCCCCACGTGAACTGCGAACCCTAGTGTCTTCTCGGGCGCCGTAGCGTAAGCTAGTATAGCACGGCCATTGTAGTACGCGCACCTCTCCGTCCTCCCCCATCCATCGTGGCTGCTTGTCAGGGCCAGATCCACGCATTTGACTCGCAGGATCTCATCGACGTCTACATCCCAGACGGCCCTGAGACTGTCCTCTACCGTTGCGAGCAGCAGCCGTGCCCGAATCGGACACCCCGATCAATCGAGGAGGATTACCCTCGTTACAAAGCGATCCGACGAGCGCAACATCCGCTTGGTCCCCGCAGCACCCTCGCGTCTCGATCTGCCTCACAGCATTCTCGCCCTGTCTCCCCCAGCTCCCGACTCCCTCAAACTGTCGTCACCGACCCAAGTCAAGCGCGAGGAGATCTCCCTCCAGACCCTGCGCCAGAGCCTGAGCCTGAGGAGAGTGCAAGTGAAGAAGGAGTCTCGGAGTCCGAGTCCACGGATTCTGCTCGGCCCGCCTCGCCGACAGCGCTCGCCCCCACGTCAGCAGTCCCTGACGTACGTGACTCCCCCGCCAAACTTTCTCCGGCGCCTTCACCGCCGACTCCGCCGAGAGGCCGCTCGAGCACTTGTTCCTCTCGAAGTTCGACCAGCGGAGGGCCACCACAGCTGCCTCCGCCCCCGCAACGTCCTCCGTCCCCCCCGACGCCGATAATGTCGTCCCCCACAGCCGCCCTCGACAAGGAGACGTTAAAGCTCCTCCTCCCACTCCAATACGATGGCAAAACCGTCATCGAGTGCAACCGGTTCTTGTCGCAGCTGCGCATCTACTGGCTGGTCAACACGTTGTTGACCACTATTGAACTCAAAGTGCAGGTCGCCCTTAGCCTGCTCAATGGAGATGCCCATGCCTGGGCCACTCCCTACTTTGCCCAGCTCGCATCGGTGCAGGTGGGTGTACAAGGGGCTACAACCCCATTCGCAAACGAAGCAGCCTTTGCCACCGCCTTCAAGGCCCGCTTCGGAAATCTCGACGACGAGGCGGCAGCACAAGTAGAGCTGGCAAAGCTCTGCACGGACAAATCGGTCCGTGAAAAACGCACCGCTGCGGAATTCTCCGCACTGTTTAAGGGTCCGGCGGATCGCTCTGGGTATGGGGACCTAGAGCTACGCGACAAGTACCTGAGCGGCATCCCCTCCCGCATGTACCGAAAGATCGAGCTCGAGACCTTCACCACGTGGCAAGCAGCTGAGAAGTGCGCCACTGAGGTCGAGCAAATCCTCGACATCAGCCGGGCTCATCGGCCCGAGCTGAACAATTTCTTCTTGGCCCGAGGTCGAGGACGCGGTGGGGCACGTGGTGGTGCACCCCTGTCACATGCAGCTTCGGCCAACATCAATACGGCCATCGGAAAAGGCAACTTCCCCGGCACATGCTTCGGCTGTGGGAAGCAAGGGTACCGACGTTTCGAGTGCCCCAATTGTAAGGACAAACCTTACACAAAACACGCCGACGCGCGGGCTACGGTTGCCTCGGGCTTCACCCAGGCTACGACAAGCGCCCCCGTCACGACAACACCCTCAGCAAGTATAAGTGCCGCTTCAGCGAAATCCGAGCAATCAGAGCTGGCGGACTTAATGGCACAGGTGAAGTCGATGTGCGAGGAGCTCGAGCATTATCGGGCGATGAAGGAGGAGGGTTTTTGATCCGGTCCGCGCTTCGTGCCGCACGCGTCGGGCCGTGAGTATCATGTAACCAGTACAATGTATTGTCTTCTGCAATGGTGTACGAGTTGGACCAGGGGTCCCAGCACTTTCACATTCCAGTAAGACTTCAAGGGAAAAACCGGCACAAGGACGTAATCGCTATGGTGGACAGCGGAGCCATCACGAAGTTCATCAACAAGCGATTTATCATAGAAAATAAGGTGCAGACGCGGAAGCTAAAAGAGCCGATTCCGCTATACAATATCGACGGCACCCTGAACAAAGACGGAAGCATCTCAGAAGTAGCCGTGCTACAGATGCACATAGGAGAACACGTCGAGAAGACAGTGTTTACGGTCACGGACATCGGTCCAGAGGATGTGATCGTTGGGTTGGATTGGCTACGCGAGCACAACCCCGAGATCGATTGGGAGTCAGGCTCCCTAAAGCTGTCGCGATGCCCTGGAACGTGCAGTGCCAGGAGGACTGGCCGAATGGAGCAAGCGACGACTACGCGTGATACGGGGGTCAGGCCCACGGCGCGCAGACGTTTGCCGAAGTCCAAACGGTCGGTTGTAGGCGCTTGCCGGAGTAAGGTGCTCCCGGACTTTGAGCCCGAAGAAGATCCGGTGGACGTAGAGTGGAGCGAGGCCGATTTAATCGAAGCCTGGGAGCAAGGTATCACGCTTCCTGGCGCTCCTCAGCTGTTCGTTGCAGCAGGGCATACATACTCCCAGCTGTTTGCTGAGAAGGAGATCAAAA